CGTTTCGTCCTCTCTAAGGACTCTATCAGACTAAGGCTCTATCAGACTCTATCAGACTCTATTGATGGAATTATATATGTATTAGAGCGGAAGATGTAAACGCAAAACTTTAATGTTTAAAAACATTATTTTAGTCCGATGAAGTCGTCCTCTCATACACAGAACATTTACACTTTGCACATTCATTTGCCTAACGTTGCGCTGGTATATATAAATTTTATATATAATATTTCCCCCACCTCTCTCTCTCTCTCTTTCTCTCTACACACACACACACACACACAGACACACACACACACACACACACACACACACATATATATATATATATATATATATATATATATATAATGAAGATAGAGAAATAGTAACGAAGTAAAAGAGGAAATAATATACATATTCACTCACTACTGGGCAGAAAGAAAATAATTATATGAGGCTTTTTATTGGCATGGGTCTTAGTCAATTATTAGTTCTTCTTTGTGTGTTATATTGATAAAAAGGACAATATCCACGCCAAGGGACTGCAGGGTAGATGATAGGGAGAAGGGCTAATCGAATTATTTTTCCCGTCTCTAAAAAAAAATAAAAATAAAAATAGGGAATAATGAAATAAGTAGACTGGTTGGCGTCAAGTTGGTTTCTCGGTACCAAACCACTTTCCTCGCTAGCTTCATATCTGACGGTCCGGAAACGCGAGCGAACGTGCCGGCGCAAACAAAAACATTTAATCACTCATAATGAATTACTTATTTTGTACGCATGTGCAGGAATTAGCGTTTAGCTTTGCCTGAGAATTAAGAACGATACGAACGACTAGAGGTATTATTATTATTATTATTCACTCGTTGGGTGTTCTAAAGCATAGTAACTGATTATTTATAAGTGAAAATAAGTCTTTTAAATACTCCATCACTTTTATTATTATTATTATTATTTTTATTTTCTTTGATTTCTGGCGTTTACACATTTCTTTCCGGGTCCCCCCCCCCCAGGGACCTAAGGTTAGAAATGGCGTCATGACAGTTTCCACTGACAAAAAAAAAAAAAAAAATTACATAGATAAAGCCCTTCGTAAGGTGTGGGCTGTACTTGTCAGAACAATTTTCTGTATCTCCTTGAGGCATGGACTTCCAGGAATCCCTTCAATTAGTCTACTGGAATCTTTTCCAACCAGTCCTAGGGCTACAACTACAACAGGGATTGTTGATGTTCCCATATGCCACATTTTCGAGATTTCTATTTCAAGGTCATTGTACTTTGACAACTATTTGAATATCTTCAAAGATACATTGCAGTCAGCAGGGACTGCCATATCAATAAGGAGGCGCCGTTTTTGTTTGTGGTCTTTAATAACAATATCTGGCCGGTTGGCCTTGATTGTTCTGTCAGTGTGTATTGTGTAATCCCATAGAATTGTAACAGGTCCTATCTCCGTAACCGGGTCTGGGTGGTTTATTATTATTATTATTATTATTATTATTATTATTATTATTATTATTATTCTCTTTTTTGGATGGTCCCAACTGTTCCTTTATTTCCACTTCCTTTAGCTTTTTTTTCTTCGGGATTGCTGCGATTGATCAGTTAATAATCGGCAGGACCGTCACCTTCACATTTCGCAACTACTTCACTTCTCTGGCTCAGTTATGATGCGTGAGTATATTTTCAATTTCCTTAGAATGTACCGGAAGAGCTAAATCTACTCTTTGGCATTTTTCCCTTCTTTATTATTATTATTATTATTATTAAAGCGAACCACGCTAACGAAATGACACTGTGGTATAAATATACAAAGGCTATTATGATACCCATTTGATAAGGATATCACATGCACCACTGTAACGCGAGTCCGATAAGGTGTCAAGTTTCGATAAAGGTTAGGCACATGTCGAAATACCTTCTGCTCGGGTAGCCAAGTCCGCACAGACGGTTTTCAACTGAGGGTTTTCCCAACTATATTCTCAAGTTGCCAGTCTCATCCTTTAAAACAAAGCCGCTCTCGATATCCAGGCATAATTTTCCTCCATAATGTTCTCCCACTTATGAACAGAAATGCATCAGCCTATAGGAGAATATTATAGCAATGAAATGAATTGCTTCAAAAACTGGATTATCTTTTTGTTTTGTTTTATGGCATATCAATACCTGAATGCGTTATTTAATGCCGGCAAGATTTTTAGGATAAGTTTCTATGAATAGAAAATGTATTCTTTGTGAGAAATCACCAAAATTTATTGCTGGTATTTTACTATAAAAAATTGCTGCTGAATATAGTTTATCGTCATACGGAGGACACTCGGGATTGTTTAAAGATTGGAAAATAAGAGAAAATATAAAATTCATATCCAACAAAATGAACAACTCAAGAGAAGAATTGTTTGCAGCAGGAAAAATCTCTGACCGTGCACTCATATATGCCTGTATCATCGGCATAGATATTCACAAATGATCTGAGCATACTCTTAGGCAGGTCATTTATATAAAGTAAAAGAGGGTTGGTCTGAGAAGTGACCGCTGGGTGGTAAGGATACCAGCGTTGACTGCTAGGACCCCTTAACAACTACAACCCTGTTAGGAAGGATTTTATTATTGAGAAGGTGATTCCAGTGATTCCATATCTTGAGCAGCAATCCTTTGTGCCACACCTTGTCAAAGGCCTTCGAAATATCCAATGCTATAGGGATGTATTTAAACTAAACCAAACGCTTTATAATTTAAATCTAACATATATTTGAGCAAGTCTTAGCAGACAATTTCCATGATGTATATTTGAAAATAAGGACAAAAGGAATTGTCAGTGATCAGGAATAAAAATATATATTCTTTGCAAAATAAGACTAATATAATATTATCATTTTATTTATTTCTCTATTAGTAAGTTAGTACGCTCTACCATTAACTCGGATAAACAATGACCGCGAAGAAAGACAAGAAAAAGATATATCAGTGACGCTGTTCGTTTTTAGTGTGAAAAGTAAGTAAATAATAATAATAATAATAATAATAATAATAATGTGGCACATAAGGATATCAATAATTCCAGTTGTAGATGGATCCCTTGGATTGATTGGAAAAGGATCCAATAGACTCATTGAACGTATTCTTAGTAACCCATGTCTTAAAGAAATACAAAAAAATTGTACTCACAAGTGCAGCTCATGCATTAGGAAGAGTTTTATCTATGTAAAATGTGTGCCATCTTATTTTTTTTTACAAAAATGATCAGTGGAAAATGTCATGAAGCCATTTCCGACCTTAGATCTCTGATTGGGACCCGGAAGAAAATGTGTATACAACAGAAATCAAAGGAAATAATAATAATAACAATAATAATAATAATAATAATTAGCCCATGCCTTAAAGAATGACAAAAAATACAAGTCACATCTTACGAAGGTGTTTATCAATGTAAAATGTTTGTGCTCTTAGGTTCAAACATGTTCAGTAAAAATCTCATGATGCCGTTTCTGACCTTAGGCCTTTGATTGGGACCCGAAAGCAAAGGAAAATAATAATAAAATGAAAGGACGACGTAGAATAAAGAAAGACAGAGAGAAAATAAATGAAGGAAGGGAGTAAAGAAGAAAGAAAGAAAGGAAGGAAGGAAGGAAGAAAGGAAGCAAGAAATCAAGGGCGATAACTCTCTAATGCATTTAACGTCTGCTGCAGTGTCAATTTTGAATATTTTCATTTGTACTCTGTTACTTCATGAAACAATGACCTGCAATATATTGTTAAAGTTGTTATGCTTAAATATTTAACGAGGCAATAAGGGAATTGTCTTTGGGTATTTTATAGTCGGGAAGTAACAAGGAACTTATTCAATAATCAGATGGAATGTTATAAATGTTAAATTTAAATAAGTAAAACGGGAAATTTGCACGTGTACTGGTAGTATGTTTAAAGTGAAAAGTCTGATGCTATTTAGTACTAAAACTGTTATATATTGAAACTATTTTGAAGAAAGAAAAAAAGAAAGAAAAGGAAAACTGATGAAGCAAGATATTTCTTTGATACAACCGCGGGAAAATATTCATGAAATATTGAACAAAATCTGTCCGGTTGCTCGTGCAAAAAATAAAAATAAAAAAATAAAAAAATAAATAAAAATGTACCTAAAGACAAAAACGGAATTTACGACAGTCTTCCCGAAGGCAAAACCATATTATGGAAGGCGAAAGAATCGTAGAGAGAAGAAAAATGCACCAAAAGCAGGTGAATGATTTTTACACATCACGTTTATTTAATTTGCTTACTGGACTCTTCCGGCTTTGATGATTGCTGCAAGCCAGAATGACTTTTGTTCAAAAACGTGCGAAATTTACGAGATTTTTACTTTGCGTGATTCTTTTCTTTTTCGAGTGAAGATAACAGAATATGGACAATATCAGAAATATTTGGATTTCTATTCTTTCGACGTAAAAAAGGCTTCTAAAAAGATTAAAGTTAAACTCTTTAGATAAAATTGGTAAAAAAAACTATAATATTGACAATTTTCTTTTTGTGCACAAGTTTTACAAAAGGCTTTATTCGTATGATTTTTAGGGTCAAATGCAATAGAAAAATAAAAACTTTTAAGGGACAATAACTCTCAGAAAGACAACTATTTTTACATTCCCAATACCGTTATATGCTTGTTTCTTTAAATAAGGCTCCCTTTTAGAAATCTCAAATTTTGCTTTAATAGCCAATTTGTATTGTGTGTCCTCCCCGTCGTCGACGGAGAAATAATTAAGATTACAGTGTAGGCACATACACTGAATATATTGTAAAAATCCAAAATGTGGAATTAATAAATACGAAACACTTCAAGTCTTCCAACCAGGTGCATGGCAATGCCAACCGATTTCGTCAGGTAGATCAGGAAATGACGCCTGAAATCACTACGGAGCAAATCCTGAAAAAAAAAAAGACTGAACCGGAAAAACCAACAAAACAAACCGCGAGTTGCATCCCAACTTCAACACACATGGAAAAAGAGAATTTGTTATGCTTACGTCAGAGTAACTATCCTCTTCCTCTTCCATTTGCTTTTCTTGAATTAGTTCCTTCTTGAGTTCGACCCTCAATTCATCTCTCATCTCCGATACAAGCTTCAGCATCTGCGCGCTCTGGCGTTGGACCATAGTCGACGTCTTCTGTTGTTCAATTTCACGCAGTCGCAGTGTCATCGACTTTTTCTTCCGCTCGCGTTTCAAAGTCATGGATTTTTCCAGATCTTTCTTTTGGCTTTCAAACTGCAAGGTCATCGTCTGCAAAATTAATTCATTGGTTAGAAAATAAGGGAAAAAATGTAAGGGAAAAATGTTTGAAGAAACAGCTCAAAGGATTTTTATGTGAGAAAAATATTCTGGAAGAAACATGAATGATTTATAAGAATATTGCTGCATATCAATGATCTGAATGGCTATAAAAGATTATTATCTATAAAAGTGTGGCTAACCTATATCTGTTAAAAGTCAAATTATGCTTGTGTGTGACGAATGTTTACTTTTCTTAAAAGACTAGAGTGGTTTGATGTTGTGCAAACACAATATAGATAAGGGACAAAAACCAATTTAACGAGGAAATATTAATTTCTGTTTTAATGGATATATCCACAAATCTATTACATCTTCTTTTAAACAGTTAAGGGCCATCACATACTGCTTACTGATATACCCAGAATATCTTTCAGAGGCCAAGACTCGGAGTTTTTTTTGTACTATGCATAATATTCAGTAAGCCATGCACCAAACTAGGGTACCACCGTTGTACGTCTCTCCTTTTTCTCAAGGGGTCAATATATATATATATATATATATATATATATATATATATATATATACTCCGTGCCAAATTATTATCGAGATAATTTTTTTTCTAATATTTCAAAAACCGTCCAATCAATTCACACAAAATTTTCACACAATGTTGGCAACACTGACCTGCGCAATCACTGAAATTTTCGTAATGATCTGCGCAATGTAAACAAACTGGCGCCATATTTGTTATCAGCACGTTATATATTTATATTCGTGTCTGTGTGTGCGCGCGCGTTTATATGGATTTATACATCCTGCAGATAGGTCATCTAAACCTAGGAAGGTAACTTGTCTTAATGAAAGAAAAAACTTCCGCTATTTTGCCATTCAACTGGAAGGCTTCGAGAGTCAACCTCGAGGAAAATTTTGAGTCGGAATTCTTGGCTGTATTCAGCAACGTGCTGGCAAGCTCCTGCGATGGCGATAGAATCGTATGTATCGTCATGTACCTTTTCATTAGACCATTTCAGCGACCCGGTACGAGAAACAGATGCCTAGAAGGCTGCGCTTAAAACATTATTCCATGGTATCTCAAGACTGACAGATGCCAAGTTCAGTGGTTAACTTGTACCCGTTAAATACCAATCTATGTCTGTGAATGGTAAGTGCTTGTTTGTACTTTACTGGGATGGCTGGAGCGGTTTGACGTTGTGTCTCTACAATTTGTATAAGGAACAAAAAGCATGGAACTATTAAATACTATAAAAGTGAATGATTAAAGAAATGTAGTATTTAAGGGATTATCTCATAATTAAGGAAGTTACAAATTTCCTACCATTATACGGGAATAAAGTGTCGCTGCCGACACTTCAGTTTGAACATAGATCGCCAATAAGCAAACACAGGCGATCCCATTATTGAATTAAGTAGACCACGTTTGACTTTCTAACGTACCGGGCTAAATCTGGTTAATATCCTGAAATGTATTTACACTAATGTGTAAATACATTGTATGGACTGCTGTCCTAATCTTTATTGTTTTACTCACGACCTTTCGGTCGTTATACGCTCCGGCCTTCTTCAGGTAATATACGATGGAATTTTGAATCGAATCCTTTATTTCGTCCACTGGGGTAGATTTTTTTTTTATTCCTCGTGCCATGCTCCATTGAACGAAATAAAGGGTTCGATCGAAATTTCAACGTATATTACCTTTAAGAACGTAAGATGAGGGGAAACAATCCAAACAGTGTAAATAGTTACAATACCTTATTTTAAAATTATAGACCGGTGATCCAGAAACGTGTTATTTTCACACACACACACCTACAACCCCGCACACACACACACACACACACACACACACACACACACACACACACACACACACAGAGTAATATCAAACAAACCTATCGCTTAATCTCACTGTAATCTGAATATTTTAATTCCAATGGATGACGTCGCTGAAATTGAATAATTAAAACCTTTTACCATACATAATAATAAAATTAGAACCAAAATGAAATAAATTTATTTCTGTTCAAAATTGTGATGGTTGATTGATAAGTAAGGTATCCGATCCTATAAACAAATATTAAGGCGGGGGGAATGTAGTAAATTTATTTCTCTTCAAATTTGCGGGGGTTTATTGATAAGTAAGGTTTACAATGTCACAAAAATATTAAACCAAAGAGAATAAAACTGAGATCAAAATAAATTACTTTACAAAATCCTAAGTGTCTATAAGTAAAATCTCTAATGCTATAAATATATTTTCGACCAGTCAGAATAATGAAACAGCTATCAAAATGAAGTAAATTTATTTCTCTTCAAAGTTTCAAATAATTCTATCCACTTTTTTCCCTATTCTATCCATGAAGAAATTTTCAGGTTTAGGCGGGCGTGTGTGTGTGCATATGGCGGACACATATAAATATAGAAATCATCCCTGAAGTAGATCGAATAGAAGAAGAAGTCGAAAATTGACTTTTAAAACAAACCCTCCCCGTTCGAAAGGATGGCGTAACACGGTTTTTTCGCACTGTGCAGCTGCCAACAAATTTAATGAGATGAGGGTGTGTAAAACTTGTTCCATAGGACTTCGCTTCTCATTTAAGCCTCGCATTTAAATATATATGGCTTGGTTTAAAAATTTAAATTAATTCGTTTTTTTTTTTAATTTAAAAACATTCTTTAAACCATACGTATGTCGCAGCCGCCATTGGCCGCTAAAACAACTAGAACGACCTTGACCTTCGCAACCCTTACACTCCCGGAATTGAACCAGCAGTTAATTAGTAATTAAACAACTATCCTGATATATTTTGTGTTAGAAACATACTAAGGAAGTGCTAACCAGCATTTCGACAGTATTTCGTTTATTTATTTATTTATTTAGCGTTTTCTACTCCCAGTAGATATGTAGATAAGGATGTCGACCCCACAAGCTTAGCTGTGTTCAAAGAAAGGTGTGAACATCTGTAGAGTATATGAACAAACATTATAACATAAATTTGGACTCTTTTCCGCAGTGTAGTATCTCACCCCTCCCCATTTTGGCCTTGTGCCACAATTATATTTTATATACAATAAATATTCTGCAGTGTAGTATCTCTGTGCTGCTTTTTGACCGCACTGGTGTCCCGCTGAGGAGTACTCTTCGGCCAGGAGGTTTCCAAACTTTGTGTTGGTATATCTCCGACGCTTCATCCGAAGCAGACGACCAGGCGGCAACCATTTCAGCTACCGTTTGGCTGTTACATTCCTGTTCAGCCACTAACCCGCTTCTCAACACCGATATGTTCCTGCCCAGCCTGTGACCACACTTCCTGTCGTCGGCACGTCCAGTCCAACTACACTTCTATTACCTTGAAGCCCAGACGATCAACTTACCATCGGTTTCACTAAAGAAACCGAACCTGACATTTCATCCAGCAAATCTTTTTTCTGTTTTCGTTGTATTTTAAAAAACGCACGTCATTTTAACGAAATAAAACTGACGCTTGGTTAAAATATAAACCTTCGCCTTTGTCTCCTCATTGTCTTGACTGTTCACACGTTTCTTTGAACACAGATAAGCTTGTGGGGTCAACATCCTTATTGGCTCCGCAACACGTAGATTGACTTACATTCTTCCCTCTTTTAATTGATATATATATATTTTAATGTGCATAATCTATAAACAGTATAGACAAACGAAAACTAAGTTTCTCAATGATAACCGTCATTCTGAATGAGTACTTTGAATAACGGTTAAGGGCAAAACTGAATCCGCTCCTCTGATTGGCCAAAACTAAAAATTAAACCAATCCCGATTGGTCGGAATTCTTATATAGGATTTAATAACCGAATCTCATTTGTATAGGTAAATATTATTTACAATTCTTGCAATCATACGGAGGCTATGCCAGAATGTTGGTTGAGAAATAATCGCTCTCGGCTGGACCCATGGATGGCATGGAGGCCCGAAACTTTCTATTACCCCAGAATATATATTACTGAGGAAGCATTCCGGTGCGCATTATACTTTACTTTGTTAAACATTGCTTTGTTAAACGAACATTACTTTGTTAAACATTGTGCGATCAAATTGTTTAGAGATATTTCAATTATTTGCCATTTTTATTATATAACAACTACATACAAACGATTTAAGTGTGACGTGTTTCATCATTTACGGCTTGATCGGGCTAAAGTGATGTTTCTCTTGATGTAGATATGCATGCACACAAACGGAAGGGGACGCTGAAAATTTAAACATTTAAATTTAGAATTTTTTTTAGATGTGTTTGAGTACATAGTCTAACCAATTTCGTTTATTCCTTTTTTTGTTGCTGTTTATGTTTTTATCACTTTTTTTTATTTGGTATCCTAAATTATGATAATAGATCTGTCAAGAAATGTCAGCATTCCCTCTCCTTCGTGCGCATGCGTAGTTACATCAACGGAAACACGATGTTAGTCGAATGAAGTCCTAAAAAACGAAATGCGTCGCACAATTTTTTTTACCACTTTGTCATAATTTTATCTAACATTGCTGTGTTATATAAACATTAATATATAATATTCTCCAATACAATACTATCAAATTAAGGAGGTATAGATGCCATTAAATCCCTTACTGATAGAAATAGACCCCCCCCACACACACCAAACAAAATCTACTACTATCTTGAAGGTATCAGTAATCTTCGTGGAATCATTGCGTTCGGTGTTGCATTTTTGCCATAAGTTCCCGACGAGATTAACGTCCGGTGATACAGCCGGTAATTGTAGCAGCCGAATGTTATAGACTCCATTTTATACTATGGCTTGTCCGGCGGTGGTTCACGTCATTATCTTGCTAAATAAAGACGACTGTACTATTTGGGGACGTATGGTAGAATAACCTTACCCAATATTTCCTATAAGACTTATTGCACATAATTCCTTTCACACAATGCTGTGAGATATTACAAAGTCAAAACATTAACCTGAAAACTCGAGTCATATTCTCCTAGAAGCAGACT